GTGTTGGGATTAGCACTGTAAAGTTGTGTAAGGGGTTTTTCTTTCTTTTGATCTTCAGAAAGGGATGAAAGATGGCCATTAAACTCAAAGGATTAGGTCCTCTCTCTTTATAGACTTTAGGTACCATAAATATTTCACTTCAAATGCAAGGTGAAGAATTGTATACATCTGGGAGAAAAATGGGTGTTTTATATTACCAGTTGGAAATTATTCAGTCTCCCCTTACAAATTAAATGGTCTTTGCAGAGGCATTTTCTCCTGAGTGTACTGAGATCAGAAAGAAATGGTTTTTGTGTTCATATTTTGGTAGTGATATTTTAGCTCTTTATACTCTAAAACCTTTCTTTTTAAAAATTAGTATCTTACCTACATTGTACCTCTTTCTCCTTTTGTAATTCCATGTGTCTTCAAAAATTTGCTTGTCCTTAAACTTGAGAACAACTACTTGTTAAGAATGAAAGCATGCATACATGTAGGATATAATGTATGGGGGAACTTTTTTCATTCACTTATGTGTTCATTGTTCATTGGCCCTTTGAGAGGAGCAAAGGGTCAGGCAGGGTAGGCAGCAGCCCTGAAGTTAGCCGTGTTAAAATACTCCTTCTTTTCACCTGTCTTCCATGGGGCAGTCATTTTGAACAGACTTAAAATATATTGGTTGGCTTGATGGCTTAAGGTAGCTTTAAATACACGTTTGCATTTCATCCCTGAATTTGGGGACTTGTATGTGGTGAAAAGCTCATGAGGATAATTTCTGTTTTTAGCGATGACATGTATGATATGGTATGGACATTACCATTGTTCTCTGCCCCCTTTTTATTTTGTTCTTTGTGTGTATGTGAGGGAGGAATTTGCGTAGTAAAATACCCAATTGCAATCACTTGTGAGTTTGAACCCCAGAACATGTACGGGCAGTATGAAGAAAGGGAAGAGTAGGTTGAATGAGTAGTTGGTACTTCAGAGAAAGCCAAATAAAGGGACAGGTGAGTGAGCTGGTGCTAGCCAATGGCGGGGAGCATGAGATAAGCCTTAAGCTTGGTGCTTTCAGATGAGGGGTCTGCTCAGTTACCACCGTAAGCTTCTACTTCCGATGCTTTGTGAAATTAAAGGAAAGACTGTTGTGTAAAGCTTATCCAAACTTGGGGCCTATAATATTCCTCTTAAAAAAGATGGGGGCAAAAAGAAACTGTGAATGGTGTTTGGCAACGGGCAAGAGAAGGCGCTCCTGAACACTTTGATGGTCAATTAGCCAGAAAATGTGCTAAAGACTGGGTGCTGTGCTAGATTACGGGCCCAGGAATGACCTCAAGGTCCTTAGAGTGGCCCTGCCGCTGGGGCACAGAGACGATTATAGACCTCTGGAGACGACACAAAGGCTTTAATTAAGGGGCTTATTCACACCCCACTAAGTTTGGGAAATTAAACTCTTATTTGTGCTTAACTGATGTTTCTTTTGTCTGGGCTTCCACGTGTATTTCAATAGAGAGCACCATTTTCTCAAAGTCTGTTCTGTGATGGAGACCGTTCACTGTGCTGGATGCCAATAAAGCCTAGATAGAGTTTATCAATGCAAGGAGTTCCTGCACATGTGGGTGAGAGCTGGTGTTCTGGGAAGCGTTTGGACACAGGCTGAAAATTATAATATTTAAACATTTTGACATATCAATAAATCGGGAGCTGTTTTGTCCTTAAACACAAATGACGAAAGCTGCGGTACTCTGTAGTTTGATCTCAGAACTCCGGTTCACAAGGCCATGCCAGTTCCCTGAAGTTTGCAACTTTCAGTCTGTAGACATGGCATGTTGTTCTTTCTCCAAAAATATGTTTCTCTTTGTGATTTGATAAAGCAGCTTTGGCTGGGATCCAGGACTGACTTCTCACAAGCCCAGACTGTACTTTCCATGCAACTTCATGTGTTTCTAGACAGATTTGGGTTTAAGATGTGGCAGTCGTGGCTAGAGCTTCCCAGTCACTTCTGTCCACCTGAGCTGCTGAGCTAACCCACTCTGGCAGGCAGTGGGCATGCCCTCATCTGGGAGGCCTCTGCCTCACCACTGCCTTCATGTGGGCTTGGCGCCTTGCTTTGTTAATGAAGCAGCTCTGCCTGCCAAGTTTGGTTTAGTGCCTAGGTTTTAAAAGTACTAAGAAATGCTTGTGCTTTACTAATTTCAATTTGTCCTCCAACATTTCTAGTTCAACTGTAACATTAATCAAGTAGGGTATTTTTAAGGTTTTCTCTGTCCCTTGATAATCTGAAAACCCTTTTGTATGCTTCTCAATTTGTGGATTTGGAGAACAGAACCTCAGCCTTGCTCTAAGTGAACAAGCAGTATAAAACCTTAAGTGTTAATATCATCATCTGTTCTTGTTAGAAGTGAAAAAAATGAAAATTGTCACCACACATCCAGGTGTGCGGCTTTAGCAAAATATGGTTGCTCCAGGAATCCTGTATTGAGTGAGGAGTTGGGCCTGGGGCATAGGGTGAGGGAAGGCTTCTGATTAGGTGCCTCAGGGCTGCTGTCATGATGTGGAGGGGTCCGTGTGTGGGTGAGGGTGTGCAACATTCTTCTCACTTATACCCTTGCACTTTGGAACATCTTAAGTAATCTATGGATGTGAGTTCTCTTTTCTTCAGGAAAAGAGAAAATTGTATTAGTGGTATAACTATTTCTGTTACCATATACTTAGATGATTAGTGAGCTAAAGCAGAGTTTGGACCAAACCTATAGGAGAGGTGGACCTGGCGGCTGAAGGAGAGTGTAGCTGAGTTTTGCTAAATATTGCCGATGCCAAAAGTTGTTATGTGAAGTAAAGATTCTCAGTTCTTATCTCTGTGGCTTTATTTTGCTAACAATGTCAGAGCTAGCACATCTGGCTTAGATTCTAAAATAGTTTGGTTTTATGCTTCAGTAAAAATGAATCCAATCAAATTGGAGTTGAAAATAGATAAAAGGAAAGATTTTCATATAGCAAGGTTATCAGGGAAAGCCTAGAACATTTCCTTATTGAGTGGCCTTTCAGAATAGGCCAGTGTCTTTTTCAGATGGCACATGTGTGCTCACATACAGCTCCACGTATACTGTGCCAGGGTGGGTCCGGGCAGCCCCTCCAAATGAGTGTGTGCTCAGGTACAGCTCTGTATAAGGGGTGCCAGAATGAGTCTGGGCAGCCCCTCCAGTTCCAGGGGTGGTGAGTGAACTTGCTACCAGCACTTGAGAAAAGCTTTTGAGAAAAGATTGTCATTTGAAAAGTTCTTTTCATTCTTTCTTTAAAGATCATCCAGCCTCCCTCCCTCTCTCTCTCCTTCCTGACTTTTCTTCTATGTCTTTGTTCTTAGGGTGTAGTTAATAGTCTTGTCTTTTTTGTTTATTTTGTACAGTACTGGGTAGTATTTTCTTTTAAATTTTGCATTTTGACAGAATTGAAATGTGTTGTCTGTATCAGAGTTCACCGCAATTACTGTCGTGCTCAGGTGCGCTCAGGCTCTCCGCTATCCGTCCAATTTGGTTTCTGAGTTGTCTTTGACCCCTTCCTCTCTGTCCTACCTGTGCATCAGCGTGCAGAGCTGAGCAGCAAGCATCTCCACTGTGCGGCAGAATTAATTAGCTTCATCAGATATGAAAAACAATCTTTTGACCATGTCACTTTGGGCTTAAGAATGACAAAAATGTTTTCAGTCTTTAGAGACAATAGAAAGAAACCTTTCCACATTGATTGGGCAGTGTGTATGATTCTGTCTTTACAGTATCAACCCGATAGCAGCGATTCCCCTCTCTTCCCACCCAGTTCTGTGTTCTTAATTACTCTGACCTTGGAGCTATTAGAGATTCAGCAGTTTGCTCTTCCATAAATAATGCACTCATTTTGAGTGGCAGGCTTGCAGCCCAGCTCTGCTGAGTATTTATAGTGCATCCAGTAAATGTTTTGCTTGAACCCTTCAGGAACTGTAGACTGATCCCTTTTCAAGTGGTGTGGAGAGGAATGAATCAGCAGTTTTTAAACTACAGTGGAGTCCGGAGCATTGATAAGCTCCTGTGGCACTGGCAGTTTAGTGACTAGAGAGAAGGCCTCTAGGCTTGTGGGTTTGTTTTGAGCTGGTTAAGCCTCGAGAACCGTTTCGGTCGGGAAGCCGGGGTGGCGCGCTGGCAGCAGATGGAGCGAGCTCTCTGCCCATTTCAAATTGTGGCAGGACTGGTGTGGGGCTGCCTCTGCTCTGGTTTCAGAAGATGGTCCAGAGCTGCTTAGGAGGCTCTTAAGGAGGGACGTGGGTTGCATTCTGGCAGCATGGCTTGTAATTACACATGTGGGTCCCCGTGGCCTGCCGTTGACACTGCAGCTTGGGTTGTCCATAGTGTGTGAGGAGTAATGACTCCATTGTAGACCTCTTATCAGTGAGCGCTGCTGTGGAAAACCTGCTTCTCAGCACGGGCTCATCCCATGTGAGTTATCAGCTTTCAGTTTTTTCTTGTGCCCTTTTTGGGATTTAGTCTAGGCGCAAGCAGTTCCCCAGAGACTCTCCTGGCTGTTCTTGTGGCCTCTTCCCAGCTCAGCCTCTCTGATCAGTTCAGGCCTTTTATTTTCATATTTGTTTCTGATTTATTTTTTCCTTGGAAGAGTTTCTTGGTATAATCGGAAGTGCTTCTTGCTAATACTAGAAAGTATGAGGGTGCCCTTGCATAAAGAATAGTTATTTTTATTTTTTTATTTTTAAATTTTTTTCCCAAAAATCCTCTAGTTTTCTTTTTACAGTAAGTATACATCTCCTCTCCATCTCCCTTACAACTTGCTTAGGTCCCTTTGGGAGGAAGAGGCAGAGCTGCAGGGTGTCTTTCCTGGTCCTGCTACTGGCTGGTCCTGGGAGGTCAGATGCCAACGCCCTTAATGAGGGACATTTCCAGAATAGTTATTTTTAAGGGAGACCTCTAGGCTTTTAGTGTTAAATAGCTATTGACAGTTTTTGCCAGAGGAAGCATTGATTTTTCTTTCTCTTTCTGTTTCAGGTCCGGCGTTCTTCCCTGGACGATGTGCTGAGATCTTTGTTCGGGGTCAAAGCATCGGGAAGCTTGGGGTCCTTCATCCAGATGTTATCACTAAATTTGAGCTGAACATGCCCTGCTCCTCCCTGGAAATCAGTGTTGAGCCCTTTTTGTGAAATGGGTCTCTGTTGTGTAGTTTCTATCTGAGTGTCCCTTCTCCCGCAGTGTCCTTCAACCTTACTGCATAGGGAGCCCTTTGTGCTTTCTTGTTCAATAAAGTGAGATGTATCCTCTGGCTCCTCAAGTAGCTGCATTCAGCCAGCTTGTAAAGCAGTGAGTATACATCTGTGTGGTGCTGTGCTGGGTGAAGGAGCACTGAGGTGCCAGAGACATGCCCTGGAGAGGCAGGGTGAGTCTGAAGCAGCAGTGTTGTGCAGACATCAGTTTCTCATTGTCACTCAAACCTCGTCCATGGCAGGAGTCCATGCTTTCCTTACAGATGAAACAGTGATTGATGAGAGTGTGCATTGCATGTTTTAGCTTTTTCTACCTTTAGTACATATTAATCACCAATAGAATCAGTACTTTCAGAAAATCTTTAAGGATCAATGTTGGTCAAGCAATGACATCTTTTCAAGTCATCTTTAAATTTTATTTTTTATTTATTTATTTATTTATTTATTTATTTATTTATTTATTTGAGAAAGTGTGCATATGATTGTATGCACCTGTGTGTATAGAGGCCAGAAGGGGGTGTTGGTGTCCTATCCTCCTCTATCACTCCCACCACTCCTTTAAGGTAGGGTCTCTTCCTGGACCTTGGACTTGTGTTTTCTCAGCTAGGCTAGAAGCCAACAAGCCCCAGCAATCCTCCTCAGCTAGGGTTATATGTGTGCAGCTGGTTTATTATAATAGGTACTGGGATCTGAATTCTAGTCATCATGATTGCACAGCAAGCGGTCTTAATCGTTGAGCCCATCTTTCCAGCCCCCAAGCCATCTTGTGAAAGTGAAAGAAAATCTGTAATAGAAGCATCAAAGTCCTTCAGGGCACAGAGGTATTTTGTTCTCTTTGGTGTCTTAATTAAGGTAATGTTTATACACGATTAGGTAGTGCCTCAGTGAACCTGAAATTTTAGAAGTGCAGTGCACAGGGTAATATTTCTTTTATAATTTCTGAAAACAAGTTTTATTTAAATAAAGCTTTAAATACTTTGCATAATATTAAAACTGGAAGGGAAAAGAAACCAAAAACCAGTTTGTTCCTTCACATGGCACTGGGTAGCTGGTCCTGGGCAAAGCCTTTGAAGTGGAGCCAGAGCAGTACCAGCCGCCTTTATAGAGGACACATGACAGTCAGAGCTAGGAGCTCTGGGACTCAGAGGACACTCAATGAATTGGGCTCTCATTCTAACTCATAGGTAGCTTCAATTCTGCAGCCTGATATGACTGCATTGTTCTGTTTATAAGGTCTTACATGTGATCTTGTTTTAGACTTGTATTTTTTTAACAACTGGGAGATAAGTGTAGTGGACCTGAATTTATAGGTTGCAAAGAACTGAGTTTAAAAGGGATTGACTTGCTCAAAAGTTACATGGTCTACACATGAGACCTAAGAGTGACACCAAGGAGTCCACAGCTTACTCAGTAGTTTGCATTGCTAACCTGTTTATCCAAGATGTTAAAACTTTACTAAGCTGCTTTTATCTATAAAAATACTGAAGCTGGGGATGTTGTTTAGTTGGTAGAGCGCTTGTCAATCATGCACAGAGCCCTGGGTTTGATCCCCAGCACTGCATAGAAACAGGTGTGACTCACACCTGTGACCCCAGCTCTCAAGAAGAAGGCAGAAGGATTAAAGTTCAAGATCATTTGTCAGCTACATGGTGGGTTTGAGGTCAGCCTGGGATGCATGAGACCCTGTCTCAGTAACAAAAAACAGGGCTGGAGAGGTGGAACAGTGTTTAAGAGCATTTGCTGCTCTTGCAGAGGACTCATTCAAACCACCACATGTGACTTATAGTTGAATAATGTCAGTAGCTTAATTTCTAAATGTGGGATACCTTTATTGCTTTTCTGTTACTGTGCTTAAATACCAGGACAAAAAACAACTTACAGGAGAAAAGGATTTGTTTTCGCTCACAATTCAAGGCACAGTCTATCGTAGCTGCATGGCAGGGAAGTCAGGCAGGATCTTGAAACAGCTGGTCATATTGCACCACAGTCAAGAATCAAAGAGCAGTGAAGGCATTCTGCTCTTCACTTTTCCTTCTCCATTTATAGGGTCCAGGATCCCAACCAGAGAATGGACAGATGCTACCCACAGTGGGCAGGTCTCAGTACTTAAAGTAATCCCTCCCCTTAGGCAAGCCCAGAGGCCTGTCTCCCAGGTGATTTTAGTCTTGTCAGGTGGACAGCACTATTATGTGAGAGTTGCCAGGTCAAGGGATGTGCTTTGAATTTAAAGCATGTTGAATGAGTTGTTTTTTTGACACAGGGTCTCCCTGTAGCCCTGGCTGACCTGGAACTCACTATGTAGACCAGGTTGGCCTGGTCTCACAGAGATCCTCCTGCTTCTGCTGGGATCAAAGGCCACCACGCCCGGCGAATTCTTACATTTTAAACAGTAGTAGCTTGAGTAGAAACTAGCCAATCACATTGCTGCTCCTGCTCTCTCTTACTGGGTTAGGAAGAAAGAGCCTTGCCCAGAGACTGACTTATCGCGCTAGCCTGTGTTTGTGCTTATCGTTTTGTCACTTCAGCAGCCTTTATGCTTGGGCATTGACAGGTGACCTTAAAAGAGACATAAATGCCTTAAGCAGAGCCTCCTGGCAGTGAAAGCATTTGGCCTGATACCTAAGTTCTGTCTTACCAAGTTACTAGGACTTTGAATAAGTTGATGTATATTATTATGGACTGAATATGTACCCCCAAATGTCTGTGTGGTGTGCCCTAGTCTCATGGACTTACAGATGATGTCTTCAGGAAGTAGGCAGGGGTAGATGAGGTCATGAGGACAGAGCCTTCCTGACAGGATTAGTGGCCTTCAGAAGAGACACCCAGAGAGCTTGCTTTCCCATTCCCCACCCTGTGCACACATGACTAGGTCCTGAGAGTGTATGGCCAAATGGGGACCACCAACAAGCCAGAAGGGGCTTTAGGATTAAACCTACCTCCTGGCACCTTGATCTTGGACCTGCATTCTCCATTCTTTCCTTTATGAGTCACTCTGCCTGTGCTATCATGGCAGCCTGAACAGGTGAAGACATACTGAAAATATGTATTAGAAATAAGTAGAGACTGACATGCATAATAAAATTCAGGGTAGGAGTACACCTCTGGGAAAATCCAAGCAGCCTCCTAGGGTACCTGCCCCAAATTGGTGGGGGGAACATGACCTCCTTCGTTTATAAAAGCAGAGGAACCAAATGACCTTGCATGACAAGCTGAGCAACAAGAAGGGCAAAATAAATGCAAAACAGGGTTAGTCTCCACTTCAGCCTGCTCTGTTCAGGCATTCTGCTTGGCTTTGAATTTCTAGTAGCCAAAATGATGACTGAGCCTGGCAGCCAGACTGTTGGCTGGATTATTATCTCTAGTGGGATTGTACCTGGCCCAAGCCTTTTTAAAAAATTTTTTATGTGTATGAGTGTTTTGCCTGCATAAATGTTAAGTATACTAGTGTCATGCAATGGCCACAGAGGTCAGAAGAGGGTTTTGAATCCCCTAGAACTGAAGTTACAGACTATTGTTAGCCAACATGTAGATACTGGGAACTGAATCTCTGGGAGGAGCAGCCAGTGCTCTTAACTGCCGCCTTCTCTCCAGCTCCAAGCTCTGATTTTTTTTTTTTTGGTCCCTTATGTGACTTTTTGATGCTTGGAGTCCTGTTTGTTATTTCTGTTTAAGGAAACCAGGAATGTGGTGTGGCTCTGTTTAGAAAATGTTTGAAACAGTTCACCAGCATGAGGCAGCAAGGGCGTGGCAGAAAGCAGGGCATCGCGCTGGAATCCGCGGCCTGGTGGGACACTGTGCAAGTCTGACTTTTAGACAACTGTGAAGATGTAGAGAAAATGTGCCTTTTTGATATCAATCTTGATAGGAAAGCAATTTGCTTTTCAGAAGCTGCAGCTTTTCTCCATGAACAGGGCTGCTCTGCCGGCCCTTAAGCCCCTCCTGAGGACCAAGACATCAGTGACACTGGAGGCAAGCCTGGGTAAACATGCTCATTTCGTCTGGGCAGAAAAGGAGTACCTGCCCAGGCAGAGAGGGTTGGGGATAATTAGAGATGTCAGCTGTGACTCATGGGCTCCTCCGTTATACAAAGAGCACTTGGGGTCACTAGAGGCCAAATGAGCCAGGAAGGGAGGTGCCCCACCAGCAAATTGCTACAGGAAGATGTCTTAGGTGAGCTGTTGAGGAAAACCCAGGATACACCTGTTATGGGGAATCCCTGGGCTGGATTTGTATTGGGGACTGTGGAAACTTTTCTTCGATATTCCAGATACTTGAACATCTTTTTGTCAGTGTTTGAGATGGGTAAAGTGGTCTGTGTTTGGTCGGCTCTGCATAGTTGGTCCCCATCAGAGCCTCCCATCTGGCTTTCAGGTGACAGCGATGCTGCAGACTGGAGGCCTGGGAGGCCTTCCTCCTTCCTAGGCTCCCTTCAGGCCCAATATGAAGTCCTTGCAGGCACTGGTATTAAGACAGCATCCAATTGCCACCCTGCCTTCCCCTCAATAATGAGAGTTGTGTGTCAGCAGGTGTTGACATTCTTTGAACACCTTCACTGGGAAGAATAGCTTGTGATCTGACCACAGGGACCCTGATGTCACAGCACAAAAAGAAAGCAAGGCCAGCAGATGTGCTGAGTGTGTGAGAAGCGTTCTGGCCGGAACTCCTAGCTCCATCCTTGCTTTGCTTGTTTGTTTTTGCATGCCATATAGACAGGCGTGGAGAAGGAAGAAGAATGTTTGGCTTCATATAGCTCCCTTGTCTCATGTGGCTGTAGTTTTAAGAATTTAACATTCTATTCATGGCCCACATTCAGCTCTTGTTCTTAATATGCATCTGTAAATACTCAAGTCTGTACTACAGGTGTGCCCCACTTTAAGAAAACAACGGATGTATGGTAAGTCCAAACTAATTTATTAAAGTCTTATGTTTATAGGAGTGAAGGATCACCATATGACTTAAACAGCCAACCCTTCAGCACATTGAACGTTTCAAAAACAAGCAGAAGCTGGGAAGATGGCTCAGTGTTTGCTGCATAAGCTTGAGGACCTGCTTTTGGATCCCCAGCACCCACATAAGTATGGGGCATGGTAGCCGATGTCTGTAACCCCAGTGCTAGAGATTTGGAGATAGATCCTAAGGGCTCACCGGCCAGCCAGTTCAGCCAGTATAGTGTGCTTCAGCTTCAGTGGGAAACCATCTCAAGAAATATGGCGTGAAGCAATGGAGAAAGCACCAGACATCAGCCTCTGGCAATCTCAGGCACACACGTGCATCCCCCCACCCCATTTCAAAATAAATACGAGTAGCTTTGAGGAAAGCATTGTCTAAAGTGAAGCAAGTGTCCATGACTTGATTCTGTGTAGCCTTGTGCAGTGGAAATGACTTTGTTCATAATCACTAGAGAAACAGGGAGCAGTAAGAGGCCCCCTGCAGTAAAACACTGCAAACAAAGCTTCTCAGGACTAGATCAGGGAACTGTGTGCAGAGAAGACCAGTGAATGCAGTGGGCACAAGGGACCCAGCTGCCAGTGTTCTTATCCAGGACAAGCAGGGAGGTCTAGCCCTTCAGGGATGCAGAGAGGAAGCTGTCCAATGCGGGCTGAAGTATTTATGAGGCTGATGGATAGAAGGAGCTTGTGAAATCACCCCCTCCTTACACACTTACCCTGCAGGTTTGGTCTGGTTTTTCCTTGTAAAAGCTGAAGGTGTTTGGGGGGGAAAATACCTAGCTGTTTTCTGGACATGGAATATCTTGTACTCTAGGCTTCATTTTAGACACACCTGTAGCCACCGAACTCATCAGTATTTGTAACCAAATTCTAGTAGCAGAAAATTCTGCAGCTTACCGTTTATTTTCGTGTACTCTGCAGCTCAGGTCCAGTGAGCCCAAAGACAAAGCTCAGGTTGGAAAAACTAGCTGGGAATAGTGGCTCACACCCATAATCTTAGCACCAGGGAAACTGAGGCAGGAGGATTACCATGGTTGAAGGCCAGGGTGGACTATATAGTGAGCTCTAGGATACCCTAAATTATAGAATGAGACCTTGTCTTGAAAAAAAAAAAAATCCACAGAAACAAAACATTAGATTTTAAAGCATTTATTTTATATGCAAAAATATTCCATTTTAAAAAGAATAAATTTACATACAGTACATAAGCGAGACAGCTGAAGGCTTCCAAAATAGAAACCTGGAGCATATGGTCTGAACCACCACATGCTGTGATTATGCTGGGAGATGAGCTGTCTTTGGGCAAGAAAACCCCATGTTACAGTGGGCCTACCAGACATGTGGTGGAGTGGTTTTAGTCCCTGCCATCAAAAGGTGTGTGAGGGTCTTGCCCATGTCCTTTTTTCCAGCATATTCAGTTACAGTACAGGTCTGAGCAAACTGACAGCTGTTCAGAATGAAGGTTTTCCATGGATGCCTTGGGGCGGTGGTAGTAGCAGGTTGGGGGCAGGGTGGGGACCTTTAGGAAAAGGGTGTATCATTCTGCCTGGCTCCCATAGAGGCCAGTAGTGTCCAGGGTGGCTGGCCACTGGTCACATTCTGGTGACCTTGACGTTTAGGTTCTTAATCTCCAAGAACGCACATGGGGAGGGGGGGTGGCTTTGGCCTAAGACTGAAGCTAAACCAGCAGGGGGCAGTCTTTCCCCAGAGAGGAAAAATCCACGTGTTTTGAAAGGAGAGCCAGGATGTACTCTGAAGGGGCCTGTGATGGTCTGTGGGCCTGTGAGCACATTTAATACAGTGAGGCACTCTGTGAGAAGTGGATGGAGGAGGGCCAGCAAACGTAAAGCAAGATCAAGTCAGGGCTTTTTAAAACCAGTACTACCTGAATCGGAGCAGAATCAGTATACCTGGATCAGAGCCGTAGGAGTCCAAAGCTGAACTTGGACTCACCACTGTTCCTATCCCCTTCACTTGCTGTTACCGCTTTAAAAAGTGACTTGTCAGGACAAATCCATAGGGTACTGTTTAATATTGTATGGCTAATATAGTCGTTCTCTACCTAAATTGTGTAAACAGCCTAAATACATCCATCCCGCCGATTGGCTTTCCTGTTACTGAGACTTAAAAGGGACATACAGCTGTAGAAACGTCATATGAGTCACCATACCCAGTGCTGTGATGAGGTATGATCCTTCTACAAAGATACAAGTGAGTGAAGCTGAGCCTTTGTCACTAGGCTTCAAATAAACGAACCACAATTACTGTGTGTAAATATTAGCCAGCATTGCAGGGTCTGGTTTGGCAGCTTGGGGGAACAGAAGTAAAGGAAAGTAATCAATAGCCACCGCATGGGAGAGGCAGACCTCGGCAGACAGCCTGCAAGCCAGGGCTCCCTGCACCCCAACCATGGTGCTGCAGATACTCAGAGCTGGATGCAACTAGTGGGTCATTTTCATCCTTGCTCTTAACTATGGTAAATGTGAGAATTATAAGTTAAAAAAGCAGTACTTAAAAAAAAATTATTCTTGAGAAATTGGAGCACTGTGGCCATGGGCACACTTAAAATCAGGGAAACTGTAGATTTGGTTTTCAGCTAATGCAGAAGGCTGAGCCTCAGTAGCTTTTAAGGGGGCTTAGTTTTCTTCACTATGTGTGTGTGGTGATGAGGCATTATGATCATGCAACATTAGCTTCAGTGTCACTGCCTGTCAGAGGAAGGCTAACTGCACTTACACTAACTTAAGAATACTGTTGAGACCTACCTATTCCTTATTCTGAAGATCTGAAGAGGAGGCCAGGGAGGGAGCTCTCTGGTGTTTGCATCACAACCTTCCTAGGTGTATGGAGGAACACACTAGGTTTAATGGGTGTCATTTAGTTAGTTGGTGTGTTTTCTGAGGATAGGCTAAAGTTATTCTTACATTAATAACACTTAAAATTGCCAAAAGAGGTGGGAAGACTTGAGAGGGAGCCCGTGATTCTGTCTAGTAGGTGGGTAAAAAGAAAGTAGCTGAGTGGTGACGAGGCAACATCAGGAGGCTTTTTTTGGGGTGAGTCCACGTCAGGGCTGCCTAGCTCCTTATGGTCAGTTTCCAGAGGATGAAGCTCACCCGTTCTACTGATCCATTGCCCTCTGAGTCTCATGGACGCTCTAGCAGCTGAGAGCAGGAGTCTGTGTCCTCGAGTTTCCACCCGTGAGGAGGTGGTAGCAGCCCATCATGTGTGGCTCAGCATGGTGTAGAAAGAAACAGGGGAGGCTGCAGACTCTATGTACAAGGAAGAGCAGCATCCTGCTTCAGTAGCAAGGCCTGAAGGAGACTGGGGCTGGTGAAGAAAGCAAGCTTTTCCCCATGGCCTCATAACTCCACTACTGCCTTCTGTCTCCTCACAGGAAGCTTTATTCCATAATGGTCTTACTTTAAGTGTTGCCAAGCACCGTCTAATCTGATCACAACAAAAGAAGTCACACTGTCCAAGGAATGCAGTTTTACATGGTGCCATCTTTTCTCCCAGACTAAGCTCCAGTTTGGGGAATGAGACTCAGCATTAGGCAAGGTGATAACTGGTCTTCCTCTGTATTACCTTAAGTCTGTTGGCTCTCTCCAGAGCCTGATGGGACTTGTAGCCATTCCCAAACCAGGACACAATTCCTGTCCAACCAAGACGAAGTCCATGTAACAGAAAAAGGAGGGGTGGCCTTATAGATCTCAAGTGTGGTTTTCAGCCTGAGGTCAACTGGAGTACAACCCTTACAGACCAATCACATGAGGCACTGGTCCCATAGTTGTAGTATCTACCTTATATCAGCAGAACAGAAATATGACAATATTTTTCTTAAACGAGTTGTCAAGATTGCCCCCAACAACTTTCCCATGCGTTGCCTCTCACATTGGTGGGCTATCTTCTGTATGAGGCTTACAGCAGTCCCAGAAACCTGTGCAACATTGGCACAAAGGTGGTGGCACAGATGCCGACAGACGTGTAGGTGACAAACTTGTAAGGGACTTCAATCTCCAGTCTCCGCCTGGCCTCCTTGTTCCTTGTGACCACCTTGAACCAAGAGAATAACACCTGCAGCGAGAGGTTCTGTACCAGTTGACGAACCAAGAGAATCAGCACAATTCCCACCATAAACTTAGTCAGACCTAAAACCAGCATGTCAGTAGTGAGTGGTGGGATGTTCTGAATCACAGAAAGAGATGGGGTGGGCTTGGATACCAGCTGGAAGAAGTGGTTGATCCAGAATCCCAGGGTCACTCCAGCCCCAGCAGCCACGATGGTGGTGGTATCTGCCCTGGTCGGGCTGTAGTAATCAGACACAGGATAGTTGTAGCACAGGAAGAATGGCACAACTATGACACACACAGGGAAAAGGGGGCTGGCTGAGTCCAGGCAGTCCAGGAGGGTCCAGGCAGGGTGGGTGAGGATAATGAGGACTGCAGTGATCAGGACTCCGCCCAGCACATCCTGCGAGAGAAGAGCAGTGGCAGCCAGTCAATACTTCTACACAGGCATTGCTTTGACTCAAGTATGGTCGATCTGATGCTGGAAACACAATCCGTTGTACTGTCCTATTTTACAGTATGCATAAAACTAAGAATTTGAAGTGAAAATAGGAAAAATATACACAGCCATCATGTAATTCATGCCACATATTTTCTTAAAGTGTCTATGTGTTTAATAAATTCTGGATTTCTTTCTAAGTGAATGGCAATCTCACTTTATTATAAATCTTAGGTCACAAGAACTGTCATTTTCACAGAGAGGGCATCATCCTTCCTTGGCAGGCATTTAAAAAAATTAAACACTATGCCCACGTGGTGGAACACTGTTGATACCCAGTCCTTGGGAGGCAGAGGCAGGCAGATCTCTGTGAGATTGAGGGCAGTCTAGTCTACATAGTGACTTCCAGGTGGGCTGGGACCAGGGAGACCGTGTCAAAAATAAAATTGAATAGGAATTATTACCAACTAGATGGCCCATCAGGTCCCTAGACCTACTTGTCTAAAATAAAAATCAAAAGAAATGCCCCCCATAAGTAAAAGCACTGAATAGTTTGTACAAAGGAAATATAAATATTGCTTAATGTTTCTTTCAAATATTTATTATAGCTTAATATTTACTCATAATAAGGTATACAAATAAAACTATGAGGAGAAATTAAAACTTGTGTTTCTACAACAGCTGGTATATGTTTATAGAAATTCTATTAATAATCACCTCAAACTGGAAACAACTCCAGATTCCTCCACTGGATGAATGGGTAAATAATCTGTGGTACATACATATACCGGAATACTTCTCAGCAGTTAAAAAGCAATAAACTACTGGTGTATGCAGCGGCTTGAATAAAATCTCCAGGAAATTCTGCAAAATGGAAAAATCCAAGCTGCCAGGGTTGCATACCACATGGATCTGTTTATATGGCAGTCTCTTAAGGGGCAAAACCATTAGTGACAGAATCAGTCAGCTATTGCTCAGAAGACTTAGGGAGTATCATGTGTGACCCTAAAGGATGCCACGGGGCAGTTTAGGGATAGTGGAACTGTGGTGATGCTCATCAAAACTTATATGTAAGAATTCATAAAACCTACAAAAAATTCATTTATTGGGGGGGCATGTGTGTCACAGCTGACCTGTGGAGGTTAAACCATGTAGAATTAAGTATGCAAAATGTCTGTACAACAAAGCATGCTTTACACATATGAAAGTAGATACATTGTTTAACCACTTCCTTACTAGGGTGTGGGGGCCAGGAGACCCTTATATTCAGGTGGAGCGCTCCTGAAAGCTAGTGTCACCACAGATCCCAGTTCTGTGTTACCTTCTGCTACTTGCTCTTCCGAGCTTTCCTTCAGGGTTTGGATGGTATACAGGCTCCAGATCTCCATCCACAGAGATTGTGCCACTGCTGTGGCTTTCTCAGACACAGTAAGCTCCCTAATTAATGAATCTGATTGAAACAAATATATTCGTCCCCCATTTCAGTCACAAACCAGATAGACAAATACCACCTGATGGGTGCTCCTGCGTCTCAGAAGTTACTCTGTAACTCCCTGTGGGAGGGGGTTCTTGGTAAACAAAAACGGACCACCGAGCCAGCTTTCGATCTCTGTGCACACACTAATCCTGGCCATGCCGCTGCACACCAAGCCTGTGTGATCCCACTTTGCATATACTTCACCAGATATACAGAATGCATTTCTGTTTCTTGGTTGCTAATACCACATGCATTTGCAGCTTTAATTGCCACCAAAGAGGCTCCTCCTACTACAGTAGTCAAAGCAAATTCTATCTGGACAGGTTACCAAATGTGGTCAACAGAAAGCTGTACCCGTGCTCTGCTATCTTTACCCTGAGAGCCAAGGCCTCTCTTGCCCTTGTAGCTTCCTCGGAGCTTCCTGGTTCTTTCCACAGCTGCACAGTACTTCATGGGTATGACCATCCCAGAGTTAAAAGCAACAACACTGTAGTGCATAACAGGAAAACACCTCACTCCAGCATCAGGGTCAGGTCTCTGAGTGAGACTGCTAGGTCAGAGGGTAAATGTATCACTTTGACAGTTACTGACAAGTCCCTCCCCCATGAAGTGTAGGACATTTTGCAAACAGATGATGAGTGGCAGACAGCTTCATGAACAGATTTCCTTTGGTTTCTTGAATCAGGGTATTTTGTGTCTATTATGTTTAAAGTAACACCAATGTTGAGGGCTGGAGGAATGCCAAGTGTAATGAGCTCATCGCTACAAACAAGCCTGTCCCATCTCACAGGGAAGAAGATTCTACTACCCAGGTAGTCTCCAGGCACCTCCGCCAGATTCATGTCTGGACCCTAAGGATGTCAGGAAGACATTTGCCTAAATCTGTACAGCACAGAGCTAACCCAGGTTGCTCAAGATCCCTCTGGCAGGGGCCTCCAAGGACCAGGATCCACTCTTCTTTGGACTTGCAGGGCACAGGCTCCCAGTGGGCACTGTGACGGTTGCAGCTCTCATGGAACCACCTAACAGAGGTGGACCATCTGCGTCACTCACAGTAACCCTGAAGCACAGGCAGTCATGGGTCCCAAACTGCCTTGCTTGGGGAACAGTGGGAACGGTGCTGCTGGCGTGCAGGTCATCTCAGAGGGTTGCTGATGCCTTGCAGGGATCTCAGTGTACGCAGCAGCAGCAGCAGCATCTCTTATAACAGCTGTCTTATTAGTTGTTCATATCAGGTTCCCACTGAGCCTGGAGGACAGTGGGGAGGACCAAGATGCCTAAGTTCATAGCCTCACAGCTTGGGCACAGAGTGAGGAGCCCAAGAGGCCTGCCTTAATACCAAGTAGCAGAGGAATGCTGTGCAAAGCGGTTCATGAGCATATGTGGTTTAGAAAACTCCAGAAATACGTTGTGTGTCGTGCTTATTTTGATGATGGCACTCAGTCTTGGTGAAGACTCTCAATGCTCATGGTGACGATATCTGATGGCTCCGGTTACACCTTCTGGAGCACCTGTCACTGTATCATACAGACTCCTCCTTCATTCTGCCATCACGTCTGAATACCCACTTCATTCCCCAAAGTCCAGAAACTCACTTCTTCCCATGCCTGCCATTCTCCTGTCCCACAATACTCACACACTACATTCTCGTGGTTGTTTCAAAGGTAGGTGCTCTCAAACAGCATGCACTGGAATCACCTTGGAAACTCTGAAGTGTGGATTGTGTGTGGCACTGTTCTAGTTTTGTTTCTGTTGCTGTGACAAACATCTGGACAAGAAGCAACACGGGGGAGCAAAGGGTTTATTTGGCTCACAGCTTCAGATTACAGTCTTATTGCAGGGACGTCAAGGCATCATGTTCACAGTCAAGAGTAGAGAGTAAATGCATGGATCCACGCTTGCTTGTTCACTTCTTGTATTCAGCTCACCCTCTCTACTGTTACACAGTCCAGATCCCCAAACCAGGAAATGGTGTTACCCACAATGGGCTGGCTCTTCCTAAATCAATTAGCAATCATGACAGTTCCTCCACAGACCAACCTGATCTACACAATTCCTCAACTGAAACTCTTTCCCTAGGCGATTCTAAGTTGTGTCAAATTATCAGTTAAAATTAACCAGCACAGGTTACCACCCCCTCAAAGTGGCCCAGGAATCTGCATCTTAACAACCCAATTATAATTTAGATTCAATGACTATAAGAAAAGAAAAAAAAAGGAACACCAGCCTAGAGATTAATAGTCAAAGTTCTCAACCTATGAAGTTCTCACTACTTTCCCATCTGAAATTTCCACTTCACATAGGTCTGCCTACTTTTTAAATTTTATTTTTTATTCCTTGGCAGTTTCATACATGTATATAATGTATTTTGGCATCTTCTCCCATACACTCTTCCCCTTCCCACTGAACCCCTTCTTCCTCCCAACAAATCTCCCCTCCTAATTTCATGTTGTTTATTTTTGCTTTGTTAGCTCTTTTTGGACCCACTGAGTTTAATTAGAGTTGCTTGCATGAGCATTGGTGGGGTGTTATTTACCAGGCACAGGCAACTAAGTGGCTATACCACTGAACAAATTCAGCCCCCTGCAACCATTAACAGCTAGTAGCTCCTTAAGAAGGGGTGGGGCCTCACAAGCTCCTCCCCTTTCCATGAAGGACTGTTGATGGGCCTTTCCTGTACAGGTTGTCACTGTTAGGACTGCAACCACCATGTCCAGGAGACAAGTTTCACAGCATGCCTCTCTATCTCTGGCTTTTAGTTTTGCCGCCCCCCTCTTCCAAGATGTTTCCTAAGCCTTAGGCTGGAGAGGTGATGTAGATGTCCCATTTAGGGTCGAGCACAAATAGTCATTTTCAGCATTCTGATCAGTTAGTTTTGAGTCTCTGCACTAACCATTGCCCACTGCAAACAGAAGCTTTTCTGACGAAGACTGAGTCTATTTGCTTTTTGTAAACAAGTCTAGTTCAATTTTATCATCATACTTTCAAATTCATTTTAGGTACTTAAACCATTTCTACCTTTCAGGTTCTTAGTAGTTCCTCTCTAGGGCTCAGCTCAAGAGCTACTCCTTTCTAAAGCCCTGCAGGTTATCTCCACAGTTGGGAACAATCTCCTTTCCTCTCTGAACTGAAGGAGAAGAGCTGTGCTTCATAGACTTTCCTTAGTTTGCCTTTGCTGTAATTAGATGCTTTCCTCTGAGCTGATTCACAATGTCTGAGCAGCAAGCCAAGGTCAAGCCAAGGTTGCTTATGTGTTTGCCTTCTTTCTTCTGGGCTAGTGGAGCAGACATTCAATTACAGAGTCAGGAGCATGCACTAGCTTTCTCTTCTCCAGAATGTCTATGATATTTGCTACCCATTGTTTCAAAATATAAATAAGAATCTTTTTCCTTCTGCCTTCCTTAGTAATTACAGTTACCAAAGTCCCTGACATCTGGTTGGAATATTCTTTATAAACTAATTCTGTTCATCTCCAACCCATCAGGAG